AAATAGACAAATATCTGCAATTTAAGTCACAACATAAATATAACATTGCATTTTTAAAATAAAAACATAAAATTTTAATTCTATTCAAACTTTTATTCTTATGATAACGTAAACATAAACAAAACAGTTTTAAGAAATTTTTAACAAAATTTTATTTTTTGAACAAAGAACTGTTTCAGTAGATAACAATTTAAAAATTAAGAAAAAAACGAAAGTAAATATAACAAAATCTCTAGGTAACCACTATTTATGTAAAATGTACATAGGTAGCATTACTTACTTTTTAAATCTGTCTACATCGAATCAAATCAAACTCTATATGTAGGCCCAGGATAGCGAAATCTACAGGACTCTCCAGTTCTGCATGAACCTCTTAGAAAAAAATTACAGTCTACTGTCTTTGAAGGACACGATCTCTTCAAGTATGCTTCAGGCAATTTTTCAATTCAGATTTTCTAGTACATGGCCTATTTTGGGTAAGGCCAAATACTTGATGTCATACTTGCTCACGATTTTCTTCAAATTAGTTAGAGCACGCCATATATCCTCGTAGCTTGCCTTGTCTGTATACGATTTCCTGGTCACCACATACAGCAAAGAACGAAGACCATCTTTTAATCTCAGTACTCTTCCAACTTTAGGCTGCTGATTTTTTAACTCATCCAAACGACCGAACTTCTTCTAAAATAACAATAAAAAGATCCTGCTGAACTTCGGTGGTCAAGCCGAATCTAGCACTCTTTCTCTCTGCGTAATTTGACATAAATTTATTAAAGCTTTGTCGCGGCATCGAGCAAAAAGATAAAAGAGGGAATCTAATCGTTATGAAAAGGAGACCAAAAAAGTGGCCTCTGATGGCGGACATATCCGGAAATGCAAAGGCGCTAAATTTAAATTTTCCAACACATATTAACAATAGCTATAAAATATTTTTCAGACGAGAAAGTTTTAATTAAATATTAACTATAATAGTCTAAAAAGTGACACAATTGGTAAAAAACTTCAATATAAATAAAATTTCATGTGACAGTTGGGACAAACAATAACATAACCAAACTAAATTTGACTTCTCAAACAAGGAAAGAGACTGTCTTTCCTTGTTTAAAGTGGCCTCTCAAATAGCACTTCCTGTCTAACAATATTTTTGTCCCCACTACCTTTACATTCCCTCTTTTATCTTTTTGCTCGATGGTCGCCGGTCATCTTTGATCTCATGTAGAAGGGTTCGTACTTCTTCTGTTTTATTTATGCCAGCATAAGCTGCAAGACGATTTATGTGAACTACTTTTGGTTTACCTTTCGGCAAATTCGGTGTATTACGTCATTGATTATCTTTTTAATTTTATACGGATCTTTGCAGTTTAGGAGACAAGCCTCGACGACGTTGTGGATTATAGAGCCAAACAAGATCACCTACTTCATAGCTTTCATTCTTGCATCGAGAATTATATTGGTCATGCGTTGTCGAGCAAGTTCATGAATGTTGTTCATTCTTAACTTCAGGCGGTTGACATAATCTTCGCCTGCAATATATTCTTCGGAAGGTCTGCAGCCAAACTCTAGGTCACAGGGCAAACTAACTTCTCGAACATTAGGCAGGTTGAAATCTGACTTGTAATTTCATTCGCGGCTGAGCGGTAGACCATTAGCAATAAGTGAATGTGCTGGTCAAAATCTCTTTGATGTTCTGATACAACTTTGGACAGGTGTTTACCCATCGGTCGGTTCGACCATTCCATCTGATTGAGGATGTAGGGGTGTCGTTCAGGTCTTATTGACACCAATCAATTTAAAAACTTTTTGGAAAAGGGTTGACTCGAAGTTTCGAGACCATTACTGGTTGCACACAGTTCACATTTCCGGCACCATCTTCTTACATCATCTTTACAGTTTACCCAATAGAACCGTTCTCGAACCTTTTGCAGAGTCTTTGTAATACCAAAGTGTCCATTTGATATCCGTCATGCAACTGATATACTTAATACTTAATATTTAATACTGAATACTTAATACTTCTGACACTTTACTTTTAGGTACAATCAACTGAAGCTTAGATTCTGTATCATCATCGTTATAAAAGGTTCTATACAGAAGATCATCTTTTAGCACTAGGCAATTCTATTGGTTCCAGTAACACTTGACTTCTGGACTGCATGCACTTATGTCTTGCCAAGAAGGTCTTTCACTTCGACGCATCCAATCCTCCAATTCTCTTTTTATACATGGATCATCTGCTTGAGCATCTTGTAGCTGTTGAGGCTGCCATTGATCATTAATGAGGGTGGTTCGTCTCACAGGGCAAAGTCGTTCTCCTAATTTAAGACAGTGATTACAATTGGCACTGCATGGCCGTCTTACCGAGCACCAACATTTAAAAGACTTTTTCCAGCCCGGTGTTCGATCTGTTCTAGCTTTCTGACTGTTATATTGAATTTAATATAACAAATATAACATGTATAACAATATAACGAATATGACCTACGTTGCCACCATTCCAACATCTGGTTTCGCGTCTCTTCGGCATCTTGTTACGTACAACTTTCCGTACAATTTCCTCGAGATGTTTATCGTTTTGTTTGACGCTCTCTTCAGAGGTTCGTACTCGATAGCTCCGTGAAGCTTTTCCGACAATGGCGACTCCAACTAGCTGTTTCGTGTTATTAGACAATGGCGAGCGCTTCATCTAAAACTTTCGGTCTTGCTAGTCGTACAACTTTCTGTAATTCACTTCCTCTTAACCCATTGATGAAGGTATCTTCAGCAATTTCTTCCAATATGTTGTCTGATGCCTCCGGATAAGACAACAGCGCTATATGAGCAACATCTGTTTTAAATTCTTGCAAATTCTCACTTGGTCGTTGAATTCTACTTCTTGCTTGTACTTTGTAGACTTGTTGTAGATGGCATCCCCGTAACGTTTGTCTAGTCGAGTGAACAAGGTCTGAAAAAATTTTTCTTGACCAATTTTTTCAATCAAGGAAACAGCCTTTCCTTGTCCTGTCTAGTGATTGACTGTCGCAATACCTTCAAATTGTCTAAGGTATATGGACCAAGAAGACTTTCCATCAAATGGTGGCAATTTGAATCTCATATGATGTGTCGGTTTGTCTTTAGGTGATTCTTCTTTCACTACAGGATCTAAAACTACTGCATTAACTGGTGGTAGCACTTTTGTATTGGTTATCATGGTCTCTAATTGTTTAATCTTCTCTTCTACGTCTTCTATCTTGTCGTTTACATTTTTCTGTATCTCATCGAATGCTCTAGAAACTTCTTGAAATTTCTCATTGTTCTGACTACATACTTCATCGAATCTTCTAGAAACATTTTCTCGTCATTTTGTCTAATTTCTTCTTAAATAATTTGAGATGTTTCATCGAAACTTTCATCATTTTTTGTAGAAGTTTCTTCAATCAATTGCGAGACATTTTCAAATGTCTTATCATTTTTTCTAGAATTTTTTTCTAGTTTCTTCGATCATTTGAGAAACATTTTTATTTCCCAATCGTAAAATAGTTTCGAAACACAATTCAGATTTCTGCTTTTATCTGTGCTTTCTAAAAATTGCAAAGCAAAACAGACGTTGATAAAGGTGTTAAAAGAGGCGTGGGGAATCTAAAATTTGCATTCCACGACACATCTTTTCAACTAAGCAGAAATCCTTAGCGAATTGGTTTCTTGTACTCGTACAGAGTAAATCCGAAAAAAGTGAAAAAGACAGCAAATATTTGATTTCACGCAAACAGCGCCTTTGTATCTGTTGATACGTATTTCGACCTAATAGGTCTCATCAGAACAGTTATTCAAAGGTGTTCTCAACGTGAAAGATCAATATTTCCTGTCTTTTAAGAAGCAACAATAACATGGCTTCGAATACGGACGCACTAGCGACATCTAATTTAACAATCGTAAAATAGTTTCGAAACACAATTCAGATTTCTGCTTTTATCTGTGCTTTCTAAAAATTGCAAAGCAAAACAGACGTTGATAAAGGTGTTAAAAGAGACGTGGGGAATCTAAAATTTGCATTCCACGACACATCTTTTCAACTAAGCAGAAATCCTTAGCGAATTGGTTTCTTGTACTCGTACAGAGTAAATCCGAAAAAAGTGAAAAAGACAGCAAATATTTGATTTCACGCAAACAGCGCCTTTGTATCTGTTGATACGTATTTCACATTTTTATTTCCGTTAAAACTGCTTCTTCTGCTAACTGGAACTGGAATGTCTCTGGGTCATCTTCATTCTTGTTGAGAACATCCTTCAGTATTTCTTGAAGGATTTTCTTGAACCCGCTGCAGTCTTCATCGGGTTCTTCTAGTTGCTCACGTAACAGTTTTACTGAAAGTTCTACTAGCAGCATCTTTTGTCAGGCACACACGTACTTTTTAAATATTCTTTCATACAAAGATCACTACCGAACTACACGGATGTTCCCGACGAACAATACTTTTCAAAAGTTTAAAAGTGTTTTTCAAAGATCACTGCTGAATTTATTTTTAAATCTTACACCGTGACATCAACTGTACCGTTTTTAAATAAAACGAGTGGTTCTAATTTATGTAAATATATTTATTTATAAGTTAACAGCACGATAATATCGTATCAACTAAACTTAGCTAATATCAGCGCTACTTACATAATAATATAAGAGTTATTAGTTACTAGAATATTCTGCAATAGTCCACCTCTATTACTTGCATTATTGCTTTGATTCCAACCCGGAAGGTTCTCGAGCTCAGATCATCGTTGTCTCCAGATGCAACCGTTATATGGGCTACGTCAAAATAAGCAAGATTGGTACAATATATATATATATATATATATATATATATATATATATATATATATATATATATATATATATATGTACGAGTATATACAGAATGTGTCTTTATATTTAACTTGCGATATTTAAATGGTCTCTGTAAAAAAGCTATAATAACGACGCAACCAAAACTTTCTAGATTTAAAACTCAAATAATCAAAATATATTTTTAGGACAAACCTTCCAAAACAAGTAATGGGCTTCCCCGATTTTCCAGTGGCTTCTGATAAAAAATCGTATTTAACACAAAATGAGGTTCTTGAATTATTAAATCAATATGTGGATCATTTTCAATTAAGGAATCTAATTAAGGTAAGTAACAAAGTTAGTATTGTCACTGAAAAGTCAAGTTATCTAAATAATTTCGGATATAAAAATATTATAACAGATCTTCGTCCTCTTCGCACCAGGGATTAGGAGTTGTTGTCTTCCAACAAAAATAATGTACAAATAATTAGTTGTATTTTATATTTTCATACTTTTATTTTCATTGTTCATTATATTTAAATAAAATATATTTATCTAACTGACTAAAATTTTACAATAAATACATTTGTTATAAGCGTCCGTACTACATTCGGGGCTGATGTTATAACGCCCGATGAGGGCATGTGGTTCCAATGGAAACGACATGCAGTAACTCCAGTAACTACATACTTTTCGAAGCACATCACTCTACAGACATGGAGCTCTACAGATAAGGTGATGATATGTGTGTTCAGAAAGCAGCTCCGGGATAAAAATTAACATTCTATTGGTTAAGTGTTACGCTTTGATACGGACTATATAGTTGTTTTGTGTTGATAAAATTAAAATCTTAAGAAATGACAGTAGGTCGTGTGAATTAACGAAACTTAACATTAGTTAAGTTTCATAACAACTTAACATTTAAGTTTTTGACGAGAAAATACATGAGCGATGTTGGGATTTTCAAATACGGGAAGTCAAGATGCTGTTGAGATATCGACCTGTATTTTGAAACAAATTTATCCTACTTTAAAAAACTCGCAGGCGAAATTAATTGCACAAACTTGAGATGGTGCTGCTGTAATGCGTTAATAGTTTTGTTCTTGGCCATCAAAGCAGGTGGTACCTCTGTACTCTAACCACTAGGAAGTATTTTGGAGACATTATTTGAATTTTCGGAGTTTGAATTTGTATAATTTGGAGTCGACTGGCTTTGGGGACTACAATGAAATAACAGTTATATCCCTCCATTGATACCGATTCAAGCGCGAAAGGTTTGACTACTTTGTGCTTTAATGCCATAATATTTGGCATTTAATTCATCAGAGCAATAGCAAGCTTTTGCTAAAAGTACTCGAGTACTGATTGGATTTGTTTTAGAAAATAATGACTGATGCTGCCACATAATTTATTAATGCCACATGATACATTTAGTTAGTTTAGTTTAAAAGGGACTCAATGAAATTGCAATATGACGTATATGCAGTATAGACGTATTGGTAGGAGTAGTCATTACCTTATAAAATTTTATCAGTGTAAATATACGTAGACGGTTACGTATGGATTAAATTTGAGTCTCTTACCAGTCTCTAGCACGTGTTTCTGGGTCTACACGTCATCATAGAGACAAGAAGACTAAAACTAAATCAAAACGCATCCGATGGCAATTATAGGAAAAATATTTCACAGATCAACAATGAATTTGATGGTTTAAAATAAACATCCTTTGATAGGTAATTTTGACCTCCTGAATCCGAAACTGACATTAGTTTGTTTCTATAACCTTCCAATTTTTCACAAATCGAGATCTTATAAAAATTCCCTGATTATACGAAAAGGTTACATATAAAATTAGAAAAACGGTTTTTAGTGTAAATATATGGCACAAACCGTTGTCCAAAAATATTTTAATAAAATTTTTAATTGTGGTAACACTGTAAGCGGCTGCACCTCTCCCAGTCGTAAATAAACGCATCAAAATCAGTTGTCTGTTTGTAGTATTTCGATGAGGTTTATCACTGAGTTTCGAATTTGTGTTTTTAATTTTTTATTCTATTCTTTTTTCGAGCTATGGAAAGGAGACATTGTATTAATAATGCAGACTGCTTTTGATATATTTGTGTCATTTTTGTGATTGCAAAACAAAAAATAACCTTATTTGTTCGTAATGCGTACCATGCCTATTTTGGACTGAAAATAGGAGAACAAGACAAATCTTGGGCACCACATATTGTATGTAAAGTTTGTGTAGAAGCTTTAAGAAGTTGGACAAAAGGAAGAAAAAAGTCATTGAGATTTGGAGTTCCCATAGTGTGGGGTGAGTCACAAAACCATTCTGACGATTGCTACTTTTGCTCCTGTTTTAAAGGGATTTAATGGTAAGAATAAAAAAATATTATATACCCGCACCTACAATCTGCTATTAGACCTATTTCTCATAGCCCTGATGTACCTATACCTATTCTACCAAAGGAGTTAAAGAATGTTTCATCGTCTGATTCGGAACAGTCTGCATTTGAGTCCACAGATTTCGACGTTACTTTTGAAGCAGAAGAAGGACCACAACTATTTAATCAAATGGAATTAAACGATTTAATAAGAGACTTAAATCTTCCCAAAGATGTCTCAGAACTTCTAGCCTCTAGACTTTGTGATAAAAATTTGCTGGCTCCAGGTACATCAATCAGTTTCTACAGAAATCGAAAAAAGGACCTGAGTCCATATTTTACTCAAGAAAATTCTTAAGTATATTGTAACAATATCTCCGACTTAGTTATTAAGCTAGGAGTTGCCTCTTATGAAAAGGAAGAATGGCGACCTATTTATTGACTCTAGCAAAAGTAGTCTAAAAGGTGTTTTATTGCACAATGGTAATACACTGGCTCCTGTTCCGGTCGCTCATTCTGTTCACCTTAAAGAAACATACGAAAACTTGGAACTTCTCTTAGAAAAAATTAAATACCGAGACTATAACTGGATACTTTGTGGAAATCTAAAAGTTCTGTGTATGCTACTTGAACAACAGTCAGGTTAAACTGAATATCCTTACTTCATTTGTGAATGAGACAGCCGAGCACGAAATAAACTTTGGACCGAAAAAGAAGGACCCACAAGAGAAAACCTTACGCCAGGAAGTAAAAACATAAAACACAATGCCTTAGTTGATCGTGAAAGAATTTTATTGTCCCCTCTGCATATAAAATTAGGTTAGATGAAACGGGTTAAAGCTATTGACAAAAATGGAGAATGTTTTAAATATATTTATTCAAAAATTTTCAGGTTGTCCGATACAAAATTAAAAGGAATTTTTGTTGGTCCCGACATTAGATTTTTATGAAGAGACGAAATCTTCAAAATTCTATGACGCTTATCGAAAAGAAATTAAAGAAGTTATCGAAAACTTCTTGGGAAATAAGAAAGTTCCAGACTATGAAAACATTATTACACAAGTGCTACAAAATTTTCGTATTCTAGGATGCAATATGAGTTTAAAAGTACATTTTTTATTCGCTCATCTAGACCAATTTCCAGGAAATCTAGGAGCTGTTAGCGAAGACCAAGGGGAATAGCGTTTCCACCAACACATTAAGCAGATGGAAAGACTTTATCAGGGTAAATGGAGTGTATCCATGATGGCAGACTACTGTTGGATGCTACAACGTGATAATCCTGACAAAATTTATAAAAAAATTTCTACCAAACGCAGTTTTTTGACAAAAAGTAGAAGATTTTATTAAGTTGTGCATACAAAATATGTAGTTTTCTTTACTTTGAGCATTACTCTTATTTTTAAAATATATTAATAAATGTATTTATAAGCACATTAAGTGTATTTTTTTAACTTTTTTAATTTGCTAAAATATCTTACGTGATAGAAAAATTGGTTTGCAGATTTGGAATCAGCGCATCAAAATTATATAAAATCACTTTGCAAATTTAAAACATCTTTCAAAAAGTTTTTTTGTAGACCTGTGTATCAGAGTATGCTACTAGCGAGCTCTAGTGAGGGAAGATGAAGTGAAATGTCGATAGCAATTAGAGTAAACTGTACACCCAAGCTTAATCAAGCTATTCAGAGTGATGTAGGGAATATTTATATTTCACTATACATTAACAATTTACCCATATAAATTACCATCATTTTTGTACTTCTTATCTTTCTTCACTATAGGTCACTAGTAGCATACTCTGGTAATTATTTTTCCTATAATTGCCATATTAATCGGTACGTTTTGATTTGGTTTGATTCTTCTTACAAGTCTGTCCGACGACGGGTAGACCCAAAAACACGTGTTTGAGAATGGTAAGAGATTCATATAAAATCCATATGCAACCGTCTACGTATTTATTTGTTATCGTCCTTACTCGACGAAATGAGTACAAAAATGATGGTAATTTATATGGGTAAATTGTTGATGCATAGTGGAATATAAATATTCCCAGCATCGCTCTGAATGGCTTGATTAAGCTTGGGTATACACTGTACTTTAATTGCCATCGACATTTCACTTCATTTTATCAGTGAATATTTTCTTGTCTTGTTCTTCAATGAACAAAATTATATACATGATGACGGTATAAAAGTCGGAGATGCCACACTGGACAGAGTAGAGAAACTCGTGTATCTCGGCAGTAATATCAATGAGAGCTGGGATCCAACCGCAGAAATTAAAAGCCGAATAGAACAAGCCCGAGCTGCCTTTGTAAAAATGAGAAACGTACTTTGCAGTCATGATCTTAGCATTGACCTTAGAGTTCGTATGATATCTTGCTACATCTTTCCTGTCCTGCTGTATGGAGTAGAAGCGTGGACCCTAACTGAGGCTATGCTTAAACGCTTGACAGCCTTTGAGATGTGGGTATACAGACGACTACTGAAAATAAGCTGGGTCGACAGAGTTAGAAATGAGGAGGTCCTTAGACGGCTGAACCAAACAACACAACTGGTCAATATAATAAAGAAACGCAAGCTGGAATACTTCGGTCATATTATGAGACACCCTGAAAAATATGATCTTTTACATCTGATCATTCAGGGAAAGATCCAAGGTAATCGTGGTCCTGGTAGAAGAAGAACATCATGGCTGAAAAATCTAAGGCAATGGTATGGAAAATCAACTACATCGTTATTTAGAGCTGCTGTCAATAAAGTCACGATAGCGAATATGGTAGCCAACATGATATCCAACGATCGATAACGGTCATGGAACTAGAAGAAGAAGTTCTTCAATGTTTTGTAAATTGTTCCGCGTATATTCTGAAACTCATGGTATAATAAACGAAAAAGGTAACATATTGCGTACGCCGCATGACCGTCGGCCAGGGAGTGACGTCAGTTGCAGCGT